TCTCTCTCTCTCTCTCTCTCTCTCTCTATACTAATAATATATATATATATATATATATATATATACATTAATACGTTTTGCAGGGCGCTGGCACTGTTGGCCATGTCAACGACCTTTGGTGTCTGTGTTATGATCGTCATCTCTGTATCCGGCAGCATGCCAGCCGCGGACAGCACTGCGCATGCGCCACCATCATTCCACTCGTTCACTCTCGGTACAGTCGATATGATGCGTGCAACTATACGCATAATCAGGAGTGAATAATAATAGATAATATCTATTTTGATTCACTCCTGATATAATTATACTAAAATGCTAGTTCTAAGAGTCTGAGATGGTACTAAGATCTATCAAATATAAGTCTACTGTAATATAGACAACACAACCTCCAAACACACGGTTTTTGCTTTGGACAGTGAACCATGGGCAGTATTCACCAAAGATCGTATAGTATAGAAGGCCTCCGGCACTATACGATCTTTGGTATTCACTGATCTCTATAATATAATATAATATATATTATAGAGATCAGTGGCAGTATTCCGTTAGCCAATGACCCTGTAGTCAAAGTAGATCATCTACATTGGTCTGGGGACAACTGTCTACCTTGCCCCCCCCCCATGTATGTATTGTGAGTGTATTGTATGATGTATTGTATGTATGTATGTATGGTAACTGTATCCGTATGTATGTAGTATGTATGTATGCCAGTATGTAGTGGTAGTGTATGTAGTGTATGTATGTGATTTATGTATGCTATGCTATGTATGTATGTGTGCGTGGACGAATGACGTGTGCGGGTGACGTGTGCAGAGGATTGGAGTGAGGCGATAGTGCGTCGTGGAACGGATAGAGTGGACGGACGGAGGAAAGCGCTCCGCGAGAAAATACCCCATGTGCGGCGTGGGGCGCCGAGTGTGGCGCTGTTGGTGGGTTTTGTGGGGTGTGCGTCACGTCGTGTGTGTTTTGTGTTGGGTCGTGTGCTGACAGTCGTCGTCTGCGTGTGCGTGTGCGTCGTGCGTCGCTGCGTGTGCGATCGTGCGTTCGTTGCTGTGTTGTGTGGTGCTGTTGTGTTTGTGTGTGGTGTGGTCACCGGTGAATGAAGAGAAGAACGTGAGGGGCTTGGGGTTGTTTGTGCTGTGCGCGGTGTGTGGTGGTGTGTGGTGGTTTGTGTTGCTGCGTGTGCGTGTGCGTGTGCCGTGCTGGCGTGTGCGTGTGCGCTGGTTTGCCGCTGTGACCTTCGTCACGCCAGTCACGTTGTGCGTTGTGCGTGGCGTGTGCCGTGGGCTGTCGTTGCGCGTGTGCGCGCCCGTGTATGTATGTAGTGTAGGGTGTATGTATGTATGTATGTAGCCTTGATGTATAAATGACGTATGACGTATGTGGTATAAAACGTCGTTCTATCACTATGATTTAGCACTGGGGAGTCTTCGCCTGGTCTTTCACGGGACATCCCATATTTCCGCGCACCTCTCAGAATGACATGGCAGAACCCAACAAGTTCAAATACTCCATCGTTCTCGCCTTTGCTGTCGTGCGCGTAAGTGTGTCGGTAGAAGCAGTTTTTAAACTCCTACCTATATATTTATTCTCTATTATGAAGTGGTAAGACTACAAGATGCTGTGCAAATATGCTTTCCCAGCATCGACTGACACGAGGAGAAACGAGAACGGCCAACAGCAAGCACGCAAAAGCACTGTAGCACACGCCACGCCACGCACGCACAGAAACACACAACACACAACACCACACACACACACACACACACGACACGACACACACACACACACACATGTATGGGCGTGATTACTTTTCGATGGTTCTTGTGCTCGTGGGTGTGGTTGTTTAGTGCAATCAAAGTAATTATCCCTTACTGACGCTACACCTACAGACAGTTCGAAAACGTGCATAGGCCTACACTTAGTATTATTATAAATGATAGTCGCTAGTGACGGTTGTGTTGGAACTAGCTAGCATGAACAGGTCGGAGCTCCGGATATCCTAGAGATTGAGGTGGTGGCTTTCAGTTGATAGCATCCCTTTAGCCGACTTACTCTTATCCCATCAGTGTTCGTATATCAACTATGACCCTATAAGCTACTGGAGGCAGTCAATGTAGACGAGTTCCAAGACCACATAGCTTATCAACAGAGCAATGCACAGACCTACAAACTTTTTGGTAGAGGCTGGAAACAGGTAGAATATCATTTCTAGGATACCTGGGGGAGGTTTCACTGGGTATGTTCCAGGGCTGAATTGGCGTATTGTGTTGGGCCATCTTGACACTCCAAATGACGCCAAGGAAAAATGATTTTCTAAATATCTGGACTCCCCGAGCGTCGTATGAGAGTAATGTGGGCTGGGCTATACCCACATTGTTTCGGATTTAGTGAGAAAACATTATGTCCTTAAAAACATAGGAAATGCGCCCATATTGGATTTTTCAAGATTACCGCCGCCCCGAGGTTGAAATTTGGTTATNCACGACACGCAACAACACACACACACACACACACACACACACACACACACACACACACACACACACACACACACACATGTAATAGGCGTATTACTTTTCAGTTCGGTGTGTCGATAGTTGGTGTGATCGTATAGTTAGGCTCATTATACTTTACCACTGATCATTTGTAATTACCTACTCTACATATTAACGGAGCCCTGTTACACACACACACCACATGTGCGCACGCATGCACGCATCGTTGGAAATGATACGCGCCAACTATTCCAGTTATTGTAGAGTTTTTACTATTGCACTTTTTTCCGCTATTGCAGCTATAATAAAACGAGATGGCGTACGGCATGTATCATGCGGTGAGATCTCCGCATAAAAAACCTCCAGTACGTCTTTACTTGGGCTGTTTCAGTTATTCTCCTCATGTACATGCCTGTCGCGACGATCTCCTACCTAGCCTACGGCAGTGACTTGGTCGACAACGTACTCTTGAATCTGCCGCCAGGTGTCGTGCGCAGCGTGGCGCAGATTCTCATCACGGTGCATCTGCTCTCAGCCTTTGTCATCGTCGTCAACCCGCTCTGCCAGGAGGTGGAGGAGCTCATGAAGATACCGAAACGTTCGTCAGGCGCTTTCTTACTTTTTTACGTTTCGTTTTCATTATCGCGGTCGTCATTTTTATTTGCTCCATGGTCATTTCATTTTTATTTTTTTCATTTTTAGTTGGTCGTCATGTGCTCCACTAATTCATAATTCATAAGAAATATATTACGGATTCAATGTGGTCAAATATGACAACGCAGCGCCATCTAACGGGAGAAATAATTCGCAAGCGCATTTTCAGCATTATATTGTATGTTTCCGTAATATATTTCTCTAACTTATATCTCTGCAATCCTATAATATTGGGGTGCATATGACAGCGAAATATATTGAGGAAGCTTATTCCAATACGCTAAACCGCCTATGTTACGCCAGGGTATGGCTATTACTACTACTGCTGCTATTACCAATGAAATGAATGAATACTACTACTGGTGATAGATGATAGATAATAGATTCTATAATATAAAATAATAGAATCGATTATTATTCACTCCTGATACCATGGATATCAATGACAACTAAACCTAATAATAGCAGCATCACCACCAACAATAACAATAATAATACTAATTAGGTTTAGTTATAGGTATAGGTTTAGGTTATTAGGTTTAGCTGTCATTGATATCCATGGTAATATCAGGAGTGAGTAATAATAGATTCTATTATTTTATTTTATATGATCTATTATTATTAACTCCTGGTAATATCTGTATGTCATTGCTATATAGATTTCAACCCGTTTCGCTGTCTGATGCGAACTTTGATCATGCTCCTCGTGCTGCTACTGGCAGAGAGCGTCCCTCACTTCGGTTCGATCCTGTCGCTCGTCGGAAGCTCTACACTGATGCTGCTCACCTTCATCCTGCCCTGCATCTTCTACGAGAGACTCGTTACCATGACGAGCAGCGACTGGGAAACCAGGTAAGCAGCAGTTACCCAGGTAAAGAGAACTACTGGTAAAGTGATGTTTACAGTATCAGGTAGAGAGAGAGCGAATTACGCAGGAAGCAAGACGTACAGGTATAGTGATGTAGACAGGATCAGGTATAGTGATGTAGACAGGATCAGGTAGAGAGATGTAGACAGGATCAGGTAGAGAGATGTAGACAGGATCAGGTAGAGAGATGTAGACAGGATCAGGTAGAGAGATGTAGACAGGACAGGATCAGGTAGAGAGATGTAGAACAGGGTCAGGTTAGAGAGATGTAAGACCGGCATCAGGTAGGAGAGATGTAGACAGGAATCAGGTAGAGAGATCGTCGACAGGATCATAAGAGAGATGTAGACAGGATCAGTATGAGAGATGTAGACAGATCAGGTAGAGAGATGTGACAGGATCAGGTATAGTGATGTAGACAGGATCGGTAGAGAGATGTATATCAGGATTCAGGTAGAGAGATGTAGACAGGATCCAGTAAAGAGATGTAGACGTGAATCAGGTAGAGAGATGTAACAGGATCAGGTGAGAGATGTAGTACCAGGATCAAGTCAGAGCAGATGTAGACATGATCAGGGTAGAGAGAATGTAGACAGGAATCAGGTAGATGAGATGTAGACAGGATCCGGTAGAGGAGATGTAGACAGATCAGGTCAGAGAGAGTGTAGAACAGGATCAGGTAAAGAGATGTAGACAGGATCAGGTAGAGAGATGTAGATCAGGATCAGTAGAATGAGATGTAGACAGGGATCATGTAGAGAAGATGTAGATCAGGATCAGGTAGAGAGATGTAACAAGGATCAGGTAGCAGAGATGTAGAAGCAGGATCGAAGTAGACGAGATGTAGACAGGATCAGGTAAGAGAGATGTAGACAGGATCAGTAGAGAGATGTAGACAGGGTCAGAGACGAGTATGTAGACCAGGATCAGGTAGAGAGATGTAGACAGGATCAGGTAGAGAGATGTAGACGGATCAGGTGAGAGAGAATGTAGATCAGGATCAGGTAGAGAGACTGTAGAAGGATCAGGTAGAGAGATTGTAGACAGGATCATGGTAGAAGAGATGTATGACAGGATCAGGTATAGTCGATGTACGACAGGATGAGGTAGAGAGATGTAGACAGGATCCAGGTAGAGAGATGTAGAGCAGGAATCAAGGTAGAGAGAGTAGACAGGATCAGGTATAGTGATGTAGCACGGATCAAGGTAGAGAGATGTATGACAGGACTCAGAGTAGAGAGATTGTAGACAGTATCAGTAAGAGAGATGAGAAGGACAGGTATACGTGATGTAGACAGGCATCAGGTGAGAGATGTAGACAGGATCAGGTTTTAGAGAGATGTAGACAGGATCAGGTAAAGAGATGTAACGACAGGATCACGGTAGAGAGATGTAGACAGGATCAGGTAAGAGATGTAGACAGGATCAGGTAGAGAGATGTAACAGGATCAGGTAGAGAGATTAACCGGATCCAAGGTAGAGCAGATTGTAGACAGGATCAGGTAGAGAATGTCGACAGGATCATGGTAGAGAGATTGTTGACAGGATCAGGTTAGAGAGATGTAGAAGGATCAGGTAGAGAGATGTATGACAGGATCAGGTAGAGCGATGTTAGACAGGATTCAGGTAGAGAGATGTAGACAGATCAGGTAGAGAGATGTAGACATTGGATCAGGTATAGTGACTGTAGACAGGATACAGGTAGAAGAGAATGTAGACAGGATCAGGTAGAGAGATGTAGATCAGGATGCAGGTAGAGAGATGTAGACAGGATAGGTAGAGAGATGTAGCAGGATCACGTAGCGAGATGTAGACAGGATCAGTAGAGAGATGTAGACAGATCAGGTATAGTGATGTGACAGGATCAACGCGTAGAGTATGTCGAAGGATCAAGTAGAGATGATGTAGACAGGTCAGGTAGAGAGATGTAGACAGACTAACAGGATCAGGTAATGTGATGTAGACAGTCAGGTAGAGAGATGTATGACAGGATCAGGTAGAAGATGTAGACAGGTCAAGTAGAGAGATGTAGACAGGATCAGGTAGGAGAGATGTAGACAGGAATCAGGTATAAGTGATGTAGACAGGATCAGGTAGAGCGACTTAACAAGGACAGGTAGAGAGATGTAGACAGATCAGGTATATGTGATGTAGCCAGGATCAGGGTAGAGAGAGATGTAGACCAGAATCAGCCGTATAGTGAATGTAGAAGGTCAGGTAGAGAGATGTAGACAGGTATCGGTAGAGAGATGTATGACAGATACAGGAAAGAAGATTGAGACAGGACTCAGGTATAAGTGATGTATGACAGGATCAGGTAGAGAGTGTAGAAGGATCAGGTAGTATGAGATGTAGACAGGACTCAGGTAAAGAGATGTAGACAGGATTCAGGTAGAGAGATGTAGACAGGATCAGGTAGAGCGAATGTAGATCAGGATCAGGTAGGAGATGTAGAACAGGATCAGATAAGAGAGATAGAGGGGTAGTGATGATCGAAGGTAGGAAGGATACAAGTCAACTGCCTATGCAATACGCATATAGATAGTGGAAATGATCGACAGCCAATACGCCAACATGTACACGTGAATCATTAATTGCTACTGCCAACCAACAAGCAACTTTCAACTTTCACCCTATAACATTCATTCCGTGTAAGTATGCAAAAGACAATGCAATTGCACATGTATCACTTGTTCACCAGCTTTTCACATTTACTTTCTGTATCTATCGTTGTACGAGTTTTTACACAGGTACCCACAATTACTCGCCTAATTTATATTTTTGAATTTGTTACAGATTATAATCCACTTCACACTTAGGGGGCATTAATACGAGGTAATTGACTAGGTGCTATCCGCAATGATAATGGAACATATTCTGCAATGAGGCCTATATGGTTGGTGCGCACACATTCACAGTACCCTGTACTTCAACGTGACGGCTGCGAGTGGATAGCAACAACAACACCAGTGGAAGTCGAATATGTTTTACGATTAATGTACTAAAGAATTCTGATTAGATTGCCTTGTAATAGTAATGTTAACGTGACGAGCAGCTTCTAAACTTGTTGTGGTGAAACGAAAGTTGAAATAAAGCCAAGGTTTTTATGCAACAAGTAATTGCGACTTAACAAACACAACACCACGATTCTTCGTTCACAACAATTTATTTCCACCAACTATCCGTGCACAGACAGCGTACACGGTGCGTACAGTAAATAATACATTCGCTGGTGAGGTCCATCGTGCTCTTAATGTACCTGAGCGGATGTTCTGCCAGTTCTTCTCAGTAGGACACGAAGGAAGTTGATAGGCTAGCGATATGTTCTTGCCACCAGCCTCGCCTCATTCATTCCCTAACGTGTTCCGACAGCGCAAATTAAGCCAAGCATCAGCACGCTGTAAGACAACAATGAATCACAGATGTTAGCGATTGAATCACGATTACACTTGCAACGCACAAGAAAGAGATGTTAAACGTTTGTATCACCAGCCCTCAGGGTAATCCTAGAGTCAACACTTGTTTCTGAGTACAATAGGTGCAATAATGTTCTGTTCATCAACGAACTGGTGACCGTTTTTAGATTCTCGCAGCTGCGACGTAGAAATCAACAAACCGCGCAACCCATTACAACTCTCCTCGTTGTCCATAGACGCAAACAACGAGGCCGCAGGTGAAGGCATAGCCAATCACGTATTTTCCATCTGGCTCTGTTGTAACTCTTTGATTTTGTGACGCGTCGATTCTCTTGTTACGTCAGTCCACAACGCAGCATTCTCACGATGATATCGCTTTCTCCGTGGGTGAGCCGGCGCTACGGCAGGAGAACTTTGCGGCGGCCTTGTTCAGACGCGCGGACCGAGGAATACGAGGAATGCTGCTGATGAAGAAATCGGACGCAAGAAAGGCATCGTACTTCTTCGGCTGCAAAGACAGTAATAAACAAGTGCGGAACGCAATTTTCACACGTAGATAATAATACCTGACTAGGTCGGGCCCATATTCCTCTAGTACTGAAGATTTCACTTTTTTTCCACCCCAAAACTCATGTTAAAAAGTCAACTCCAGTCATTTCCTTAGATGCGCAATACTTAAAACATACTCCCACTTTCCACTTTGTTTTAAAGTCGATAACTGCGACAAACAGCGATGTTCCTGCCGCATGTCCGCACAGACACTCGACTCTGTACAAACCCCCCCCCATGCACCGACGTGCGCAATACATGCGAACTAGCAATTAAGACGAAGAGCCTTACCGAGTTTCTTCACCAACTTCTTGGCTCTTGTTGAGGCTTCTGAGGGCATCAGCGTCCATGCACTCGACACTTGTTGGCCTGCGCCTCGTCGGGCAATGCTGCTGGTCGCCCAGAACAGCACCACTCTGTACTTCGGTTTGGGAATGTACTTACCTAGACAGCGAGAGGTAAAGGTAATGTGTGCACAATGATTCCAGTCTACCACGTAACATTTACATCTGTTAGCCTGTCGTCCACATTAACAGCGTTCACTTAACACCCACCCGTTCAATTACATTAACGAAGTCACTCCCATGCTGCAGGAAAATAAATCAATTTAAATTATACTAGGGGTGCACGAATGATCCGGATCCCAAAGTTTTGCGCAGAGTTTCGCGATTCGGCCGGAACCCTTCACGAAACCGCGGCCGGAACGGAACTTTTTCCTAATTCAGTTTCTGGTACAAGCGTTATCAAAATCAAAAGATTAGTCGCCCGTCTCCGGAGGCGGCCGGTAACCCCACAGTTCCCCTGGAGAGTCAATAAAGTCAAGCTTGCTAAACAATATAGTGTTGCTAAACGATTTGCCCCTTGAACATTGGCTAACTCAATGAACTGAACTTAAAGTTGATTACGTCACCGTAAATAATAACAAGAGCCGAGAGCGCGGAGCTCATCTGGGTCTGTTGCTCCGGTTATAAACTCAGTCGTGCGTATGTGACACAGTTTGTTAGGCGGGCAGATATGCAGATACGGCAGTTGCGTACACATCGATTGGTTAGGACACGCTCACTATCTCCCCGCCCATGGATTTGGTTTGATTTTATTAATGATACTTGCCTTTCACTTCGAATTTGTTTGTCATAAATCACAGCTATCTATTTTTTATCTATTCTATAAAAGATTTCAACATATGAGCATGGATCTGGCCGAAGTTTAATTAGAGGGGGCGGGGAGTCCTTCTCTCCCACTCCGCTCCCACTGCGTCCACCCTCCCTCCCTGCTCCCACTTCACTCCTCTTGCCTCTCACTCACTCCCCTTACCTCCATCTCCTCCCCCTACCTCGACCTCCTCCCCTGCCTCCACCTCCCATCGCCTTGCACAACATCTGCGCACGACCTAATTGTATCCCGTTTTTCGGGCTGCATACACACCGGTATCAGCCGTTTCGCCTGTCCCCCGTCTCAATTTTACTACCTCTTCTCTCTCTTTATCTCTAGACTTTCTCTCTGCTCTCTAATTATATTAAAAAAATAACCCAGGCGATGATGCTTTTACTGCCCCCTTAAAATGCTTTCTTCCTATCGCCTGAGTGTAAAGTCATAGAAATCATAATATATATGTGTCTCTAATATTCTATGGTAACAGCTTATGTTCGCACAACTGGTAAACTGGATACGCAGCGCATACTACATGATATATGTTAAGATTCAAGATGAAAGTAAATATTATATATTATAATATTGGTACCTAGTTTATTATTCTATTCGTTTAAGCAAAGTACATGAGAATAAAATCTAATTTAAACTAGGCCTATAGTTGCTGCGAGATGGGCCGCGTGCAAGTGTAATCAATAATCAAAGATGGCATCGTTCCCTGAAATCGTACAGTAGGTACAGGCTCAAAATCCAACGTAAGTATATTCAGGCAGTTGCTGCAGGCTGTTGCAGTTAACAGGTGGCATTGCAGGTTTGGCAGGCACAATTATGATAAGAAAGCGTGCCAAGCCATGGCTGCCTGTGGTTTTGGCCTCGTGAAGCTATTCTGATTCCATCATTCAGCTTCAGGGCCTAATGCAGGGTGCATAGACAGACTGCTTTAGAAAATCATATGATTTAAGGAGCGTAAACCTTTGTTGCAACAAACATTTGCCTTTGCAATTAAAACTGTGCATGTACCTCCACAATTGACCAGGTATGGGCCTCAAAATAATAGCGCAAAGCAGTTCAGTCGCTTTGTTGACAGTACAAATCCATGTTTAACGCCTCCTCTTTGAGGTCAAAAGGTATCCGACATAATTCTTCGGCATGTCAGCAGAAGGGACATTTCATGGTCCGCTTTCAATAAACCATAAAAATGCTAGGTCACCGCTGCAACAAAAAAGTTTTTCCAATCGCTCCGTCAGACCATGTTCCTCAAGAAAATGTCTAAAATCTGCCCTGTGCCCACTGCACTTTGACCTGGTTGACCTCCCTTTCGGCACAGTGATGGCTTTATCCTACCATGATGCTAATATCACGACTATCACGAGCTAAGGTCGAGCCGTTTAGATTTGTGCCGCAATTCTGCATCTTCCTCCGCTATACCTTAAGTTTAAGGAGTGAATGTTCCCTTCTTTTACACCTCTTACCTTGACCTTTGACCCCGCAGCTTCGACCATCCAATCGTTTTGACGATCCCCCCGGACGTCCAATATGCGTGACGGCGTACGTTCGAGCGGTTAAGATTTGTGCCCAACTGTTGACGGCCGGACTGACGGCCGGGACGGATCGCACGGACGGACGATCAGCGATTCTACAAGCTGCATCTGACTATGTCAGATGAGCTAAAAACAAAACAATCCCCTTTTACAAAATATAGAGTGATTCTTGTTGCACTTATTTAATGGTTAATTGCTGCAATTATACTTCTTAATTTTTACTAATATATTGTTCGATGTGAACATACACTTGTGATCTCAGTACATAGCCCATAGCAAGCAATTATGTTATGAACCTAATTATCAAATCGTCCAGGTTTTTTGGATTTTTAGCCTAGTTTGAGAAACAAATCTTATAGGTAAGAATTTGACGATAGTTAGTCACGTTAGTTTCTTGCTTTAATGTCAAAAAATGGCAACAAAATTTTTACAATTTTACCACTAGAAAATTCGTGACGTAGTCACTTTAACTGATGTTAGGCAATTCAATAAGATTTTCTCTTCAAAATCAAATACTTTTAGAGCCACAGCAATTCGCATCCTGTCTGCTTAGTTACCAAATAAATAGATTAAAACCGAGGGATAGCTTGCAACATGCGGTCTTGCCACGAAATTTCGCTGCAATTGAATAAGATGCCAAATTAAGTGCACTGTATGCAGCTTGATTGCATACACCTAACAGTAACAACCATCTGTAATTGAACTTTGAGCATTGTCCTACTCGCCATGTGATGTGCCTCATAATGATATTTCGTTCAGGCCGGTGAGGCCAAAACTGTCGTTTATTCAGCTAAAAGTTCCGGTTCCGGCCGGAACTTTAAAAGTTGGATCCGTGCACCCTAGTTTATACATCAATTAAAATGAAGAATCCCATGAAACTATCACTCGGAAAAGGTAGGTTACCCGCAACAACCTTTGCACGTTATCGCAAGGGGAACACGTTGCTAGCCGCGCCTTCGCCCGGTAGTTTCAGACGTGGGCGGCGCACGCGTTAACTAAGTTTTTCGGTCAGCGCGAAAGGCTGAACGCTCCCCAGTTGTTTTTAAGACCCTGGTAGAGTCCGCCAGCCAAGCACGCGTACGAGCGAGCAGACTCGACTTTCCTGTCAAACGCGAACGATGCGGCAAAACCTTCTGCCGTTTCCATGACAACATAAATACATAATTGTGTACAAAACGTTCTTAAGTAGTTCAATCAGTTATATGTTTTTTACTTGGACTTGACGGAGTGACAAGCGCTGAGATCAAAATTAATTGACGAGGTTAGCGAGAATTGCTCATTGCTGCTTCCAGGCCGGGCAGTTACTTGATGGTGCCAAGATGAACGCTTGTCCTTCTGCGGATGCAAGTTCTTTCAGGTTGATCTGTACGTTCAACGGTCTC